GGGGTTGGGGGTCCAACACCTTTCTCTTTACAATTTGACCTCTTCTGATCATCAGGTCATACTCCTCTGGTCTCTCCTTATCCCCAGCTCCTGCCTCAGTGCTTGCCACCTGGCTCTTTCCTGCGGGGTCATGTTCGGCTTTACATAGCAGTCTTTCATTGTGCTGTTTTTCAAGTTTTTTGACACGCGCAGCAGCTTTTCTTTCTGGTGTTCGCTTTTCAGAACTACCTTGACTGGTCTTGTCGATTTTCCCGACGTGTCTACCTTCCCCAGTCTAAGAACCTTCTCTGCTTCGCAGTCTTCAACGTTGAGAACTGCTGTGAGGTCTCTTTACCTGTCTCATGTCATGATCTACTTGACTGTTTCCCTCATGTTCTACGGGCTCCGGAAGTCCGAAGACTACTACGTTCTGTTTCCGTCTGTCTCTTTCTTTGAGTTCTCTCTGAAACTTCTCTATTTTTCCTCTACTACGTTGTTGAAGGTGTCGTCAATTGTTCTTAGTCTGCCATTAATATTGTCGACCTTGTCTTCCGTCCTTTGTATATATATATATGATGTACTTTCTTGTACTACTACCTTAATACTGTTCATGCTGTCTGTGAGCGTGTCTAGCTTTGTCACTGTTTCCGCTTGTTTGTCTTCAAGCCTTGCAATGGCACCAAACAGGTTTGCTAGTTGCTACACTGTGACTGCATTTGTTGCAATACCAGTGAATGTTGCTGCCTCCGTTTTTGTCAGCGTCAGACAGAAGAAATTCATACGATTCATCGCCGAGTTCTTCGGATTTGATGTGATGCCAAAACATGCAGATTTCACAGTGAAGTCCCCTATCACTATCCTTCACTGGAACATTACATGTTCCACACCAGTCCGAGTTTCCTTTGGCCTGCACCCTCTTCTTCCCGCTTTGACATCCAATTTGCTTTGGTTCCTGTGTCAGGCTTCCCCTAGTTTTCTCTGTATTTGACGCAGTAGGCACCCCCCCCCCAAGTAGTTACACTTGCATAAACCATTTTAGGAGTATACTGTTGACTGTATGTGTGTCTAGATTAGTTCCAGGATGCACGTCGGGATCTTGTTTTGCGGTATCTGCTGTGTAGTTTTGAATAATTCTTCATGTACCATGTAGAAATAAAATGTTGGGAAATCATAGTGCTTTGGAATTGCCAGGAAAGGATAAAAACATGCTAGATAGCATTGCATGGCATGGTTGTTGTANGAGCGACCGGTCGCTGTCACCTGACAACACAAAAACTCCTGTAGTTGTTTTAATAAACAAAATATCATAAATCAGGGTTCGACACTAACGCTAGTCCGTTAGTCCGAGACTAGTAAAAAATCAGAAGGACTAGTAGATTCCCATAGCAGTTAGTCCGGCGGGACTAGTTATGTTTTCCCCGTCCCTCACCGTCCCAATATCCCATCGATTTTACCGGCGGCAGCGTCTCTCATCCAAGATCCAAAGAGCTATATATAACTCGTCCAAATTAACAAGTTTTCCCTGTTAGACGCGCTAGTCCAAGTAGAGTAGACGCTAGCACGCTCTGCACGCTCCAAGCATGCTAGACCCTACGGCAGTGCAAACATTGTTAAACAATGGGGTCTCGAACCCACCCAGTCTACCGATTGATCGCTTGACAGTAGCTGTTGACATAGAACAAACGGTCTGATTGTAGAAATGACGCAACTAATCAGTTATAGGCTCTCATAGGGAGGTATTCACATCGCAACCACATCGCATGCGTGTGTTACTTGAAGCAGTCTATACAAATAGTAGTGAAGCTAATAGTAGGTACATCCTTATCCAATAGTATAATTTACTAACATCAAGGTTGTTATGTGAAAGTATTTGGACGGCGCTCCCCTCCACCTCCCAAACGTAAATCGCAGGAGGAGAAATTAGATGGCCAGCGTGTCTATGATAAGACGAAAAGGATGCGTGCGTTCCAGCCAGCGTGGAAATCGTCATACCCGTGGCTAGAGTATGACCCAGCCAAGGGTATCACTATGACCTGTGGTGCAGGCTGTATGTATGATAGTTTTTCCACCGGCACTACAAACTATCGTTTGGAAACTGTTAAAGCGCATGATGCTTCCGAGGGGCACAGAAAGATCCTAGCAAAAAGAAATGCAAGGACCATGCCTGTTCGCGAAACAGTGGGGGCCCAAGTGACCCAGAACTGAGATTGAAATGGTTTGTGGCGATCAAAAGAGGTGATGAAAGTGCACACGCACGTGTACGTGCACACGCACGCACACACGTGTACGTGCACACGCGCGCACATGCACAGACGTGCACACGCACAGACGTGCACACGCACCCACGCACGTGTACGTGCACACGCACCCACGCACACGCGCACGTGTACGTGCACACGCACCCACGCACGCACGCACACACGTGTACGTGCCCACGTACGTGTACATGCACATGCAGGCACGTGTACGTGCACACGCACGCACGCACATGTACGTGCACACGCACGTACGCACGTGTACGTGCACACGCACGCCCGCACGTGTACGTGCACACGCACGCACACACACACGTACGTGCCTATGCACGCACGCACGTGTACGTGCCTATGCACGGATGCACGTGTACGTGCACACGCACGGACGCACGTGTACGTGCACGCACGCACACACGTGTACTTGCCTATGCGCGCAGGCACGTGTACGTGCACACGCACGCACGCAACCACGTGTACGTGCACACGCACGCACGGACCGACGTGTACGTGCACACGCACGCAAGCATACGTGTACGTGCAGATCAGCTTTCCTCCCAGATGTCTTTGCANAGCATTATCAACACATGCTATTAATGCAGCCTCATTCACTGATCAATGACCATTACAGCAACTTGTGACAGACGCTCAGAGTAACCAGTCAGTCACGGCAGACACAACTGCATCAGACTGGGGCGGTAAGTTCCTCATCATGGCTCACACTAAGTAAAAGGTTACACAAAGAAACTGTTGTGGTGGGTAGAAAATAACCTCACTAAAATTGATTACAGAAGGATTGCATTCAAATGCATCATACATGCTACAATTACCTTGCTAACTGCCTCATCTTGGAATTCTCATATTTCGTTTCTTTATCATAGATGGCCAACCCTCATCTTCATGCAATTCCCCAGCACCAGTAGTCACTGCAGATGGATCCATCCTACTGCTAAACAAGATTAAGCATTACCAACACATGCTATTAATGCAGCAACAATAAAAAGGATCAACAACCATTATAGGGAAAGCTTAAGACAATGGCTCAGAGTAACCAGTCAGTCATGGCAGACACAACTGCATCAGACTGGGGCGGTAAGTTCCTCATCACGGCTCACATCAGATGAAAGATAAAACAACGAAACGCTCACTGCAGACAGGAATAATACTGACTAACACACAATAACCTACCTACCTACCTAAGAAATTCACCTTGGAATTCTCATATTTCGTTTCGGTATCATAAATGGCTATCTCTCATCTTCAGGCAATTCCACAGCATCCGTAGTGACTGCAGATGGGTCTATCTTACTGCTAAACGAGATTAAGCATTATAAACACATGCTATCAACGCAGCCACATTATTGGATCAACTACCATTATAGGAAAAGCTTAAGACAAAGGCTCAGAGTAACCAGTCAGTCATGGCAGACACAACTGCATCAGACTGGGGCGGTAAGTTCCTCATCACGGCTCACAACAGGCAAATGATAAACCAGAGCTAATGACTGCACCCAGGAATATATATCACTCACTAAAATACACTTTAGACAAATATTGCATTCAAATGCATCATGCATGTTACAATAATCATTCCATCTGCCTTACCTTGGAATTCTCCTATTTTGTTTCGGTATCATCCACGACTAACTGTGATTTTCAGACCTTTCCACACCATCCATAGTTACTAAGCACAAGTCCATCCTACAATTAAACAAGATTCAGCATTATCACCACATGCTATCAATGCAGCCACATTCACTGATCAATGACCATTACAGCAACTTGTGACATACGCTCAGAGTAACCAGTCAGTCA